CAAACATCTATTTGTGTTCCTGCCTTCGTTTATCTTAGGTTGTTGTTGTTATGTGCTGTAGAGTCGGTTCCGACCCATAACGACCCTGTACAGGGTTTCCGAGGCTGTAAATCTTTAAGGGAGCAGAAAGCCTCATCTTTCTCCCACAGAGTGGCTAGTAATTTCGAACTGCTGACCTTAAGATTTGCAGCCTGATTCGTAACCACTGCGCTAGGGTCATAAGGTAGCCCTAAGGAGCTCTGGTAGTGTAGTGGTTATGAATCGGGCTGTGAACCGCAAGGTCAGCAGTTCGAAACTACCAGCTGTTCTGCTGGAAAAAGATGAGGCTTTCTGTTCCCGTAAAGATTTACAGCCTTGGTAACCCTGTACAGGGTTGCTATGAGTCAGAATCGACTCCACGGCACATCATCACCACCAGCAGCCACGGGTGAGATTTCCAATTTCTTCACATCCTCATCAGCACTTGTTGTTATCACCCAAGGATTCTTCCTTACTCTGACCTTCATGTCCTTTGAAAGCTAAAGATACCTGTACTACTACTATTATTATTATTTTAATGCAACCAAACGCTCTTTTGAGTTCATTGAAGGCAGTGATATTATGTGGGGAAAAGAGGATCATTTTAATCCTTGAATTTAAAGCCTGCTCTGTTTTTTATTAGCTGTATTATGTAGAGCACAGTGTTTTGCCTTTTTGAGCTTTGAGTCATGTAAGCAAGAAAAGGCTTTTTTTTTTTTTTGAGTCATGTAAGCAAGAAAATAGCCAAGAAAAAAGGCAGGGAAGGACTGGCCAGTAAGGTAGAAGAGACTGAGAAGAGAGGGAAGTATTTTAGGAAAAGGAAGTGGACAGCCAAGTGGAAAGCGTCTATGAAAATGGATTGTTGCTGTTGAGTGCTGTAGAGTTGGTTCCAACTCATAGCGAGCCTGTATAGGGTTTCTGAGGAGTGGCTGGTGGGCTTGAACCACTGACCTTGTGGTTAGTGGTCCAGTGCTGATCCTACAGCACTACACCACGAGTCCATGAAGATGGATAAGACTGAGTAACATTTCCACTGCTTCCATCAACACAGAGCCACACATCAAAACACAAACCAAGACTTTAAAATCATTCTTGGTCCATCATCTTAAGACCATGCAGTAGCTTAGAGAAAACAACAACAACAAAAAGAAAGCCTCTCTGAGTACTGTATCATTTTGACAGACTTTTTTCCCACTGTATCATTTTGACAGACTTTTTTCTCAAGGTCTTTTTTGTACAGTAAAACAAACTCAAAAATTTTAAGAACAAATTTTTATTATTCTTGCTCTTCCTTTCACTTCCAGTAATTTCCAGGTTTTCTATGTCCACTTAAGGGAGAATTCTAAGCAACAAGAGTAAGCCAAACCAAGACTATATAATTTGGCATAGGTTCAGAATCATTTCTTCCTCATTATAAAGGCATCTGATAACAGTGTTTTCCATATTGTGGGAGAATAAGTCTTTCAAAAGTCATTTTATAGTTAGCCTAAATTTAGGCAAGTACAATTTCTGAATAATAGGACAAAGAAAACCAAATGCCAAAACAAACCTTCTAGCACAAAGACCTAAAAATACTGTATCCTTTCTCTCTACTTTCACACACAAAGGGAAGCTCTTGACCATCAAAGGCCGGGCTGACCACAGCTCCATGACATCACATGTGCACTGACTGCCCAAACCACACACTGACTTTCCCAGATTCCTTTGCTGGCTCCTCACTGTCTTCCCAACCTCTCCTTTTGCTCCCCCACACCTTTGGTGATTCCAATATGCTCATAATTTCATATTTATAGGCTGAATGTTCTAAACACTCTATTAGGCACCTGACTTGTAGATCCTACACAACTCTCAATGTTGAATATCTATTTGGCATCTCACCATCTCATCTGTCAGTTTGTCCTACAGTGGAAGCTTGCATGGTGCTATAAGGTTGGAGGAGTCCTGGTGTGGCCCTGTAGGATAAGCACTGGACTGCTAACCACAGGTCAGTGGTTCAAACCCAACAGCTGCTCCTTGGGAACTCTATACAGGATTGCTATGAGGCAGAACCAACTTGATAATACTTAGCAACAACAGCAACAACATAAGGCTGGAAGCAATGCCATCTGTATTTCCAATACCAGCAGGGTCACCCATGGTACACAGGTTTCAGCAGAGCTTCCAGGCTAAGACAGATGAGGGAGAAAGGACTTCTGAAAATCAGCCAATGGAAATCCCACAGATCACAACAGAACACTAGTTGATGTAGTGCTGGAAGATGAGGCCCCTAGATTGGAAGGAAATCAAAACACACAGTGGCCACAACAATGGGCTCTGAGCATACCAGCGATCGTGAAGGTAGCACAGAACGGGCAACATTTCCTTCTGTTGTGCATGGGATCGCCATAAGTTAGAGCCGACTCCGCAGCAGTGATGAACACATGCAAAACGGAACACATGCAAAACGGAAATCTTTATTTCTCCCTTCAAAGTCTGCTTGTCCCACAGTCTTTTCTGTCTCAATAAAAAGCATTCCCATCTGCCCTGTTGCTCAAGTAAAAAACCTAGAAGTCATTCTGGACACGCTCTCTTTCCCTAGACTCGCTTTCCCTAGTAAAGACCTGTCAATTCTACCGCCAAAATCTGTCTCATACTGGTCAGCTCCTTGCTTTGGTTGCTGCCCTTCCAGGCCTTGTTACGTGGACTCCTGCAACATTCTAACTTCTTCCTTGTTCCCTTCTGCTGCCTACAGTGGCTAGACTTGTCATTGCTGTGTGTGGCCAACTCAAAGCGACCCTGTAGAGGGCTTCTGAGGAGTGGCTGGTGGGTTTGAACAGCTGACCTTGTGGTTGACAGTCCAGTGCTTAGCCTGCAGCGCAATACCAGGACTCACAAGACAGATCACGGTCTTACCTGCTGAAGCACTCACTTTCATCCCACTTCAGGATAAGGCTTGCCAACCTGGCTCCTGCTCGCCTCTCAGTGACGCCTTCCTTCTACCCTTTTTTCTGTCCCTAAAGCATAGGATAAGCACTGGAATGCTAACTACAAGGTCAGCAGTTCAAATCTACCAGCTGCTCCTTGGAAACCCTCTACAGGGTCGCTATGAGTCAGAACTGACTTGACGGCACTTAACCACAACAAAAAAGCATGGCAGATCCTTTCCTGTCTCAGGGCCCTGGTGTTTCTCCCTCCACCAGGCTCCTTCTCGGCCTCCCCAGTCCCGTCACTATCACAAGCCCTCCTCCACAGGTCCTTCCCCCTCCCTACTGAGCTGTGTAGAAGCCCCTTGAGAGCAGGGACCTCGTCCATCAGTCTTCTGCACAGCTGTCCTGCCTGGCACCATGCTGGAGCCCAGTAAACATTTGCTGACAGAACAGAAGCATGAACAACAGGGCTGGGTTGGGAATTCCGGGCTCCTGGCCCCCGGCCCGCCGCTTCCCACTGCCCTAGCCGCTTGTCTCCCGAACAATGGGTGAGTCAGACTGGATGACCAGTCTATCGTGCAAACTCAGGACCTCTCTGTGGGAAGAGTGGGGCTCTTACACCCTCATCCAGCAGCGGGGCACACAGCCAATGGACAGCCTCCCTGAGGTCAGTCAGCAGTCATGAGGAGTGGGGGTGCTTCTGCCTGGAGGGTAACCTGGCCATGCGAAGTGGGAAAAAGAGAAGGGGCCTCTGGATGGCTCTGGATGGCTCACCCGCTGCCCCAACCTGCTTGAGTGCTGGTCAGTACACTAGACTGTAGTGGTGACAGGGCAACCTCAGTGTCTTGGGTTCAGATCAGTAACTCTTGGGACAGTGAAGGGGAAGGCAGTGGTGTATAAAGGTAGAATTCTCTCCTTTTATACAGGAGACCTGGTGTGACGCTGTTGGATAAGCACTAGACTGCTAACTTCAGGGTCTGTGGTTCAACCCTGCCAGCCTCTCCTTGGAAGCCCTACACAGGGCCAACAGGAGTCATAACCAACCGACGACATTTAACAATAACGACAATATAGGAGACCTAGGAGCTCTGGTAACATAGTGGATTACGAGTTGAGTTGGTGACCACAAGGTCAGCAGTTCGAACTTACTCCACTGGAGAAAGATGAGGCTTTCTGCTCCCATAAAGATTTACAAACTCAGAAATGCTATACTGGGTTACTAGGAGTCAGAAGTGACTCCATGGCACACCTCCACCACCAGGTTCAATTCCCAACACCTCAACACCTCAGATGTAGTCTGTCAGTGGAGGTTGCTGTGTTGTTACGATTTCAGTGGAGTTTCCAGAAGGAGTAGGGAAAAAAACCTGGCAATCTACTTCTGAAAATCTACCAATGAACCTTATTGGATCACAAGGTCTGACCCACAGCCAATCATGGGGTCCCCACGAGTGAGGACAGCCAACATGAGCAATGGAGGCAATGGGAAGAGCAGAGAGTGAAATATATGGCGCAAAGTCATCCTGAAAATGTGGAAGGCACAGTCAAAGAAAAAAAAACCCCAAATTTTAATTGCAGGAGCTGGAGTAGAAACCTCCTAGGGAACAGGAGCGAGCAGGAGCTGCTTCCTGCTGGGCTACATCCCAAACAAAAGGCCCACTGACACAAACATCTGTTACTACTGAGCACTTAGGAATCAAGATTTTTCCTAGAGTTTTCCCCCCTTGCTTTAAAGGGTTACTCTCTTCCAGGCTTCCAAACCCCAACCTTTCATATCTCTATACCCACCAAGTGAAGTGACTATTACAGCTTCACACAAGTGGGTCCAGGAAATGTCCTCCTGCTGTTTTTTTCTGAATAGAGATATGTGGGTGGAGGGGGAAATGTCAGAAGGCATATCCAAATCCACACCCTGGAAGATTCAAAACAAAATAATCATATCACTGGGAGGATGAGCCACCATGCAATTCAACTTAGAAAGGAAACACAGTGGACTTCCTCAGATGGCCTGGCAGAGTTGCTGGGGGAAAGAGCCAAGGGAGGTAGAATGGAAGGCTGAGGGTGAGAATGATGCTCTACCTTAGCACCTGCATCTCTTCCGCCGAGTTCTGCACCTCGTCCTGGAGGCGGTGCCAGCGCAGGCAAGCACGCAGCGTCTGCCGTTCCTGGGCCTCACCAGGGGCCAGCTGCTCCGTCAAAGACAGACAGTCATACAAACACACACAAACAAAAAACACAGTCAAAGAAGCCTGGTGTCATGGTCCTCTTTGTTTCAAGGCAGGGGTGACATTGTCAGCTTCCCCACCAGAAAAAGCCAGTGGCCTAGGAGTCTCTGGTTCCACATTTGGTGTACAGCCCTGGGGCCCTCCCATGCTCACACACCTGGCCTCCCTGACTCCCCAGGGGACAGTTTATACTTTGATTCCATGCAGCCCTTCCCTTCTTTGTCTTTCTTTGTGCAGGGTGGGGAAGGTCCCCTCCATTTCCCTCCCATTCTTCCCAGCCCTCAATTTTGTTAAGAACTGTTTATAGTGGGGCCTGCTAATGAAACCCAGATGAATCTGCTGCATAGAACTAGAAAGCGTTTACTGGCTGTACTTATGTGCTCAGTTAGGGGAAGGGCCGGCTCTGGAGACCCCACAGCTCAGGATCAGCTGCTGTCACTGACTTAGTCACTAGGCCAGACCTTAAGGAAGGGCAGCAGAGTACCCACTGTGGAGGAAAAAGATCCAGTATATGCCAGCATGTCCCACAGACTCGAGAAATTAAGGGTATCTAATAATGCATTCAAAGAGCACAGCCTTCAGTATGGATTGCATCTCAATGTAAAGAAAACGAAACTCCTCACCACTGTACCAATAAACAACATTCCTATCAACAGAGAAAAGATTGAAGTTGTCAAGGACTTCATTCTTCTTGGATCAACTATCAACACTCATGGAAGCAGCAGTCAAGAAATCAAATGACGTATTGCATTAGGCAAATCTGCTGCACAAGACCCACTTAAAGTGTTCAAGAGCAAAGATGTCAGCTTGAGGACTAAGGTGCACCTGACCCAAGCCATGGTATTTTCAATAACCTCAAATGCATGTGAAAGCTGGACAGTGAAAAAGGAAGACTGTACAAGAATTGATGTTTTTGAGTTATGATGTTGGAGGAGAACATTGAAAATGCCATGGGTTGGCAAAAGAACCAACAGATCTGTGTTGGAAGAAGTGCAGCCAGAGTGCTCCTGGGAGGCCAGAATGACCAAACTTCATCTCTCATACTTCAGACATATTTTCAGGAGGGTGGAGAAGGATATAATGTTTGGTAAGGTGGAAGGTTAGAAAGAAAGAGGAAGACCCCCAGCAAGATGGATTGGCCGACTGGCAGCATCAATGGGCTCAAGCATGGCAACAATTGTGAGGTTGGCCCAGGACTGGGCAGTGTTTTGTTCTGTTCTGCATAAGGTTACTGCTATGAGTCGACTCGATGGCACCCAACAACAACAATAATGCATTCAAGGAGCCCTGGTGGCACGGCAGGCTAACGTAGGCTAAGTGTTGGGCTGCTAACCACAGGTGGGTGGTTTAAACCCACCACTTGCTCTGTAGCAGAGAGATGAGACTGTCTGCTCCCAGAAAGATGTGTAATCTCAGAAACCTGCAGGAGCAGTTCTGCTCTGTCTGCTAAGGGTTGCTATGGATCAGAATCTACTCAACAGCAGTGGATTTGGTTAGGGATAATGATTCATTCAGAGTCCCTTAGTGGTGGAAACAGTTCACACAATGCTAACCAGAAGACTGGTGGTTCAAATCCACCCAGAGATACCTCAGAAGAAAGGCTTGGTGATGGTCCCTTTCCAGAAACACAGCTACTGAAAACCCTACTGAGTTCTGTTCAACTTTGCCCCACATGGGATTGCCACGAGTCAGAGCTGCCTTGAGGACAAGTGGTGCTGTAATAATTCATCCTCCCACCATGGAGTCCCAGAGGGAGACAGGTGGAGGAAGAGCTGAGGTGGCTCCCACACCAGGAGCAGTCAGGATGCTTTCTGGAAGAGGAGGTGGGGGCTACGCTGTCCACAAGGCAGGTTGGGCAGCCAGAGAGGAAGCAATTCAGGAAGAAGGAAGGTATGAACACATCATTCAGTGTTTGCAAAAAGACTGTGTGTTGAGGAATGGCAGGAGACAAGGTCAGGTCAGGAGTAGCTACCATGGGGAGGGAGGCAGAGGATTGAGAAGCCAGCAGGGGCCAGCTATCAGCAGACAGTGCACCCTGAAGGGTTTAGACCTGTGCTGCACGCTAGCTTCCTTCTAGTTCAGTGAGTCCACACTCCTAACCCTTCACTGAGTGGTCTAAAGCTCAGGGCTGCAGAACACAGACCTTGCCACCAACGATCTCAGACCTCTTCACTCTTCACTGGCAGAGTCCAGGGTCAAGTGAGGCAGCCCATTGAGGGCTCCTCTCGTGTTTGAGAATACCACGGACAGCAACAGCTCAGTTAAGGATGCGCTTTGGGAATTGTTTCCAAATTCTGTGTTGGAGTCCAGCACACCCATTTTGCCTTAGAGGCGTTTGGTTTTCACACACTGGAGAGTCATTACATACCCCTTGAAGAATGAGGGATGGGTCATCCCCTGTGCCAGGTTAAGGAAGCAGATACCTCACAGAGAGAACCATTGGAGGATTCACCTTTTCCCTGCCGACTTTCTGGATCCCCTCCAACCTGGCCTGCCACACCTTTGAACTCCCAAGTATTTGCTCTTCCCCTCTCTTTTCTGATTACTTTCCCCTTCTTTCCATGTATGCTTTTCTTATTCTTACAGATGACGCCTCTTTTGTTCTTTGTTCCCTGCAGACCTGGCACAGAATGGACTTCCAGGAGGTGTATGGCTGTGAGGTGCAGCCAGGCCAGTTTCCTGGGCCTATTAGTGGAGGCAGCCATGACAGGAAGGGCCCAGGCAGACAGATAAAGAGGCAAGGAGAGGAGGAACACTGAAATGATGGTATTTCTATCAGAAAGGATCTAGATATCATTATCAAATGACTGTAGTATGCTCCAAATTGCAAGACTAGAACAGATCTGATTGTCTCATAATGGGAACACCTTAAGGAAGAGCTAGTAAGAGATGCATGTTTACATTAGACCTTACTGAAAGTCTACTATGTGCATGGGGGTGGGAATGTAAGAGGAGGAGACTAAGAAAGGGAAGCCAGTATTTCGTGCCTACCCTCTAGTCTAGTCATGAGGCTAAGAAAACCACAAAGTGGAAGCAAGAAGAAAAACTGAGAAAAAAGAGATAACCATCAAACATGGTGAAGTGTCAGCGCGCGTATAGGAGAAAAGTGTTAATTTCTGAGGGTGGTGATCCGTCCAGGCTATGCAGAGAAGATAACCTTGGGTTAGTTACTGAAAATAATAGGATTTCAACAGACAGAAGGAACAAAATGCAAATTTTGAAAAATGCCCAATAGTTTTTAATGTGTAAGGACTGATGATCATAGTAAAAAGAAACAACCCAATTATTTGGAACTAGGACATGAGCAGCTTTGCTTCAATATCCTCAGCCGAACTGGTGACCAATTCTTTAAAGCAGATGCTGCAAACTTTGAGGGTGCTGACCAAGTCAGGCCTCTGGATGTATTTAGTTTGTGCAGTGTTTTTAAAAAGAGTAAATTTCACATAATCATCTAGATTGATAGTGTCCCTTCAAAACTAGAAGGCCAAGCTATACCGAGTCTTCCCTTCTGTAGGACAGGGGCCTGGCTATCCTCAAATCTGTAACACTGCTTCATTCTTTATTCATTAGTTGCCAGTAGACATCAGGGACTATGACTCCTGATTTAGATTTTAATCTCATCGTTTAAAAACAAAACCATGGTCAACGTCACCATGGCCATCACCACAAAGGAGAGCGTATAGTCTGACCTTTCACTCATGTCTCTGCTCAAAGGGCCCCTTATCAGAAGGTGTGGTCTAACTACTTCTTGCATCACACTCTCCTCAAGCTCCATTTTCTTCATAGTCCTCATCCCAGCCTGATACATTACAGATTCATTTGTTTACTTGTCTACTCTTGTTACCCTCTCTAGGTTGAGAACCCCACAGGGAGCGAAGACTTGCTTCCCTTGTCCAGGCTGTTATCTCTTTAGTAACTCAAAACCAATCAACCAGCTACTGTCAAATGGACTCTGAGTGATGATGACCCCATGTGTGTCAGAGCAGAACGGTATCCCATTGGGTGTTCAATGACTGACTTTCTGAAATTACATCACCAAGCCTTTCTTCCAAGGTGCCTCTAGGTGGACTTGAACCTCCAGCTTTTCAGTTAACAGACTGGTTGCACCACTCGACTCGGTACATTATCTGTTGACTGACTGAATGAATGTGGATAGACTCTGATACCAGGTAATGGAATACTTTGGGTCACCTTAAACCTACCTGCTGTGCTTCAGCCCAAAATATGTCTTCCAGGTAAGTGGCGAACCCCTCACTCAGCCACTCCTCTGTCCAGTCTCGGGCTCCAATGGCTAGGCCAAACCAGGCATGAGCAATTTCATGGCAAAGCCGGGTCCCACAAAGGTGGTTACTTCCCGTCAAGGTGCTCTGAGAGAGGAAGATGAGGTGTGGGCTGTGGATAATGGGGGACAGAACACATGGAGTCTTGTTAGAGCCTGCCTTCAAGACTATCCCAGTGGGCGGCTTTCTTAGCTAGACAAGCCTGTTATTATCGTGTGCGTGTTAGATCTTGACCCATAGGCTTACAGCTTAGGTGCTTGTAGAAATAAAGAAAGTGGCAGTTTATGTTTCTGGCAGAGGTTCAAGTGGCCGTTTCTGCCAAGCAGTTGTCCCTGTCATCAAATAGCTGTTACCTGTAATAAGTAACCTGCCTGAAGTTTTATAGCAAAAAAAAAAAGTACAAGGCCCATGAAAGCATTTACTCTGAAACTTGGGTTGTACAGAAAGGGCAGGTGTGAGAATGTGAAGTCCAGACTGTCAAGGGAGTGATCAAAGAAGACCCTTCAGCCAAAAATCCAAGCAGCTTAAAATCAAATGGAGAAGTCATGCAGATGGACAGGAAACGCCAGAAAGTATGAAACCAAACATTTTCCATTTCCTACTGGGCTTAGTCACCGAGTCGCCAAACCAACAGAGCCAGGGATGGGTAAGGTTTCCAAGAGAACCAGATAAAAACCAAGTCTTCAGAGGGTGAAGATACTGAATGGTATTCTCCCCTTCCTGTAAGGCACTCACCCGTTCGCAGACATAACAAAATCATGCTGAGAGAACAAGAGCGAGAGAGAAGGCCTGGCGTTAACCCACCCAGGTGTGCAAACGGCCCCAGGGCTGGCACCAGTCTAGCAGATTTAGCTAATCTCATTTTCAATACCTTGTTTTAAAACCCCAAATACCATGATTACAATTGCAGAGATGAACTGTGGGGAAGGGAGGCTGAAGAAAGAAGAGGCAAACAGAATACGTCTGGTGATTCCACCTTCAGCACTCACAGTTTATCCAGGACTTGTTTACAGTCTCCCAAATGGAAAAAAAAAAAAAAACACAAAAAACTCTCTTCCAACAATTGAACAAAACAACTGTGAACCCTTTCTAATCAAGAAACTGTATACACTGGCTCCTTCCTTCCAAGCCATTTGTTTGCTATCGTATCACATCTGCAAAAGCTAAGACTGCTTGCAGATTTTTCTTCTGCCCATGAGGCCACCATCTGAGAAAACCCCACCTTGCACAACATCTCCGTTCAGCTCAGAGAGCGCCACTGAAAGGCGGGTGCCTTCTGTGCCAAAATTGAGAGCTTTCATGTGGAATAATAACAGGGCACACACGCAAATGGAAACGTTTCCCCGGATGCTGGGAGAGTCCATCAGAATTCTCAGAAAGTACAGGTAGAGTTGGAGCATTCAGGGGAGTCCCTGGCTGGTGCAGATGGTGAACATGGTGGCTGTTAACCAGAGTGGAGGTTTGTGTTCACCTACAAGCATCTTGGAGTAAAAGGCCTAGTGATCTACTTCCCCCAAACTGGCCATTGACAACCCACAGTTCTACTCTGACACACATGGGCCATCGTGAGTTGACTGGCTAGCATGTGGCTTTGTATTCTGTAGTTTGGGGAGGAGGGTTAGGACAGGAGGGTTTGGTGCGACAACTGCCAACACTGTTGATGTTGTGTGCCACTGAGTCAGTTTCAACGCGTAGCAACTCATTGGACAATGAAAAAGAAAGGCCATAGAAGAATTGATACATTTGAATTATGGTGCTGGAGGAGAATGTTAAAAGTACTATGGACTGCCAGAAGAACAAACAAATCTGAGGAATCTGTGTTGGAGGCAGTGCAGCCAGAATGCTCTTTAGAAACCAGGATGGCCAGACTTTGTCTCTCATACTTTGGACATGTTACCAGGAGGGTTCAGTCCCTGGAGAAGGGCATCATGCTTGGTAAAGTGGAGGTTCAGCAAAAAAGAGGAAGCCCCTCAATGAGATGAATTGGCACAGTGGCAGCAACAATGGACTCAATCGTAGCAACAACTGTAAGGAGGGTGCATGACTGGGCAATGTTTTGCTCTGTTATGCACAGAGTCACTATGAGTAAGAAACTGACTTGATGGCATCTAACAATATCTTTTCCCCCTCTAAGCGGCTGGTGGGTTTGAACCACTGACCTTTTGGTGAGCAGTCGAGTGCTTAACTGTTGCACCACCAGGGCTCCTTCTGCTAACATTAGTTGAGTGCATTAACAGACTGTCAAAAAGATAAATACAAAACAACAAAGTAGCAGGGAAGGAGACTGAGAGGCACAGGTGTTAATAAGATCCAGGTCCTAAGAAAGTTGCCCCTGTTGAGAAGACAAACAGAGCAGCCTGGCATTCTGGTAAATGACCCCTTGCTCTGGCATGTGTAGCACTATAGAGAAAAGCCACAGAAATGCACCCAGTACATAACATTCCAGACATATTGCTGGCAGCAGTTCACCCTTTTGGTTAAAACAAAACACAAGTAACTTTAGGCCTTATAAACAGACTCAAAGACAAGGCTGCACTGGAAGGGTCCTCCAGCCAGCCAGCCAGATGGTGCACAAGTTGTCACATAAAGAAAGTCTCGCTGACCCAACAAGACTATACAAGCTGATGACGAGGAAATGGATGCAACACTGCCATTAAGAAAAGCCTCCATGGTCCAGAGTGGCCTGGCCGCTTTTATGTCCCATCCAAGGCCCACTTACACAAATAAAAAAGTCTGCATGGGCCTGAAGGAATGCAGTAGAGTAGTTGTCTGGGTGTGTATGTGGCCGGGGTGAGAGGTGATGTCATTATTTCATTTTCCTGCCCTTTAGTGTTTCTCCCTTGAGCAGCCTATGATGACGCCAGCAGATTCCCCTTACCATCTGTAGGTGCTTGGAGATACCATCCCTCAGCCTTGGTGAATCAGAACATTGTGAGACTCCTCGTGTGGCATTGTACGATAAGCACTGAACTGAGAACCACAAGTCAGTAGTTCAAGCCCACCAGCCACTCTACAGGAGAAAGATGAGGCTTTCCACTGTCTCAGAGAGTTTTTTAAAAAGCCCTAGAAACCCTATTGCTATGAGTCGGAACCAACTCGATGGTACTTATCAACAATAACCACTTTCTTCCTAGGCGAAGGATAACTGTATTTCCCACTGGGGTCCTGGGATATAGGATAAGCACTGGACTGTTAACCAAAAGGTCAGCGGTTTAAACCTACCAGCAGTTCCTCAGAAACCCTACACAGGGTTGCTGTGAGTTGCAACCGACTTCATGGAACTAAACAACTGTTGCTTGAGAAAGATGGAAGCTTAAACATGCTCCTGGTTTGGAAGAAAATACATCTAACAACGTAACCATGGTCCTAGTACCAGTGGAAAGCATGCCTTTCTCCTGGAGAACCAATTTTCCAGTTGAAACCAGATTCTACAGTCAGATCCGACAGTCAGCTTTGCCCTCTAAAGTTAGGACTTACTATCACGGATTCAACATTCTATTTGGGACTTTATTTCCCTATGACGGAAACAAATTCCTTCTTCTTTATTTTTCCCTCTAACTTCTTTCTTTAAACTAAATTAAAAACATTGAGTAAGAGTTTTATGATAACCTTTCTCAAAGTTTTAAAAACATTTTTTTCTTAAACAAGATTCTGACATAAAAGGGCCAATAAAATTTTCTTTCAAGGAGAATGTGCTTCCCTCCTTTGACCCTTTTGTTATGGTTAAGTATCATCAAGTTGCTTCTGACTTATAGTGAGCATGAATAGGCTTCCGAGGAGCAGCTGGTAAGTTTGGATCAACGAGACCTTGCAGTTCAAGCGAAACTTGCAGCCCAGTGCATTAACTCTCAGTGCCACCAGAATTTCTTGGGTTAAGTAGAATTTCTAAGCATCTTATCTTTGTATTTAAATTGTTTTCCTTCAACAATGAGTAAAGAAAATAAAACCTTGCTCTTAAGTTCACTGCAAGGAATAGCATAAAATAGTCTTTCACCAACATTATCACTTACCTCATGTCCACCTTCAAAACAGACTGAGTTTTTGGAATTTTCTGCTCCTAATTTGTGACGCTGTAGGGTAAGCATGAGACTGTTGACCACAAGGTCGGCAGTTCAAACCCACCAGTCACTCCTTGGAAACCTTATACAGGGTCGCTATGAGTTGGAACCGACTCCACATCACTTAACAACAACCTTAACCTTGATTTATACATCTCACTCTGGCTCCTCACACCCCGCCAACTTCTCAGAACCTTAATCGTGGTCTGAATCAGCCTGCTGGTGGTGGCTCTCCACACAGACAAGACCCATTTAATCAAAGCAGGACTTTTATTCTTTTCCCCCCTGGAAGGACCTGTGTCAACTGCCTCTACCAATTCCAAATTGTTGGTTCATCATCATTTCAGAGGATGGAAGGGAATCTCTTCAATGACATCTCCAATTTAAAAAAAATTTTTTTTTTGGTCTCTTTATCACAGTTTACCATTCTCCCACATAACAGGGGAGCAGGAAAGCAATGTTTTCAGCTTTCTCTCTCAACGTTCACCAGCCCTCTTGCTTGCATTCTCAGTAAAAAATGATCTTTTGCTACAAGTAGTCCAAGGAAGGTAGGGTAGGATGTGTGTTCTTATCCTTTCCTGGGAAATCACCTGCACAGTGACCTCCTTGACAAAGGCCAAGTGGTATTATTGCATGTCAGCTGCCTAGCCCTTCAAGATCAGAAATACCACGTCTGCTCTGGAAGCACTTTCTCAAAACCAGTCCTTAAGCCACCTATCCACCCAGATTAGAATGCTGTGTCTGCTAATGGGAAACAGGCTGCGATTGGAGGAAGGGCTGCCTTCATTACTCTTAGGAGCTGCTCCAACCCTTCATGAGGAATTCAATTTGGAGCGGAAATGGAGAATTTCATCAGATCTTAAGTAGGGGCTGGGGTTTGATTTATTTCTGCTTTTTCCAGGGAGACCTGACCGGTTTGGCCCATCTTGTTGCTCAGGGAGTAATCCAGCACTTATCGGCTCCAGCTAGAAGTTGCTACCACAGCAGGTCGGAGCAAGTTGCATGGGTGGAATCGAGAGGACAGGAAATTACTTTTGCTTCAGGACAAGAAGAG